AGTGGGGAAGCGGGTCACATAACAAGTGTTCACAAAAAGAACACAGAACTTTTTTAGGAAAATATAGATCTGGAGTTCTTGGTCACCCACTGCGGTGCCTAATGTCTATCTAGACTTTATTGTGCCAGGTGTTACCGCTTATCTCTTGGGGAGGCATGTAGGCCTGGTAATTTCCTCTTTATCTTGAGGCCTGACCTCCAATACATGTGTTTCTAGCCACAGTTGTAATATATTCTTATCTTTTACACTGACTCTCTTGAGGGGCTAGCCCTGTCTGACTTCTATAATATTTCCACCTAACTTAGCCATCTATAATACAAGTAGTTATGGAAAATGTGGATGAAATAAAAATAAAAATAAGATCTTTACTGTATACGGAAAAGGAAAACAAAATCAACACTGCTAGAAGCCAAATTAGGGACCAAAAGATGAGTTTATAAAACATACTTAGGATATAAAAGTGGCAATTTAGAAGATAAAAAATTATCACAGGAATTGTAAACGACACAAAACTCAAGACAAGGAAATATCAATGGTACCAACTTACAGTGCTTCAATTTATGAAGGTACAAAAGTAATATACATTCTTCAGAGACTGAAGTTAAAACTTTGAGTTTTGAGTTTTGATCTGTTTGTGGGCTAGTGTCATGAGGTATGACACTCAGTGAGACACAGTGCCCAGAAAGCCCGTGGATCACAAAGGAGAACAAAGATCCTCAGTGGTGCTATCCTATGATGTTCAGTAGGTTAGATGAATTAAATTTCGGACTATGATACTTTGACTCTGTGATTGACTTAAGGGGACCTTATTAGTCCACCAGAATTCAAGAGCATCTGTGTTGCAAAAGCTTACACAGATGGAGGAGAATGGGTGAGAATCAGCAGATTTTTATGTAATGGGGAGAAAATCTCCCAGAACTATAAAGATCCCTCAGGGCAAGAAGGCTTAACATATTCAGGTAAAATCCCTCAGTAGAAACTAACCTGTAGACATTTCCTGATAGGTTTTTTAAACCTCAAAAGAAAAAAGGAGTTTAATAAGTTGCCAACTACAAAAATAGTTTCTTTTCAAAGCAGAGAAATTTCAGACTAGATTTAAATTTGTCTTCTGCAACAGACAAAACTAGAAAGCAATGAAGAAACATGTATAAAGTGGTTAGAAACAAATGTAAACCAAGAATTTTTAATCTTGACCCAATGTCCTTAAATATAATCACAACAGAAAACATTTTCAGGTGTGCAAAGATTTAAGCAATTTATCAGCAAATGTCCATCACTATGACCTGTGCTTATAATCACTAAAAGTAAACCTCAGCCTGGGCACCCTCTGGATCCCAGTGTTTTGCTCTGTTACTCAGGCTACAGAGGTTAACAAAAATATGGGGTGCTTTATTCATGCCCCTTATTCATGCTTGTCCAGACATTACACTGTAATGTTTACCATCATTTCTTTATGAAAACTTTATTCTGTAGCAAGGCAATCTTGTGAGCAAAGACTTTTTTTTAGTCCTTCACACTTTTGCACCATTTTTAACATTATCTGGTAAATGCTTTAAAATTATCTTTTCATAAATTTTTTTATTTGTGGCACCATTTCATATACATGCATTCTCTGGCCTTCTAGATCCCGTTGCTTCACAGGCTTTTGAGGAAAGGATCATAGAGACCATTAAAAAATCCATTTCATGAAGATTCTATATTGAAATAAGTATTTCCAAACCAAATTTAAACGTTTAAAGCAACTATGCCCTCATGGTGGGACAAGTTAGAATGTGCATACATGCACATGGTAAGAAAACAGCAGCCACAAAACAAAAAGCCAGAGCTTAGAAAGATGGGCACCAGCAGCTGTCCAGCCAGGTGATTCCCCAGTTCACATCATGGAGAGGGAGAGGCTGGGCTACTGGCTGGGAAGGAGTTGCTGGAATTCTGTGCACTTTGCATGGTCCACTCTTGGGACTGGTCTTGTTTTCATGGCATAACTAAATTATAGCAGATGAAAACATTTCCTTCTGAGCATTATGACTTCTAACCCAATAATATTCAATTACACCATACGCAGATTTACAAAGAGGAATTTTCATTGGCCACTTTGATCAAGCACTAATTTATAGACTAACAAGGAGTCTAATTTTATTAAAATACAGAATAATAAATAAAATGATCCTTACTTTATATTAAAGAGTAGAGCAGTCCACCAAGGCAGATGGGTGCAGGCCTACTTAGGACCCATGGGAAACACTTCAACATGTAAAGTATGAGAGAGATTTACAATCTGAGGTTTAGGACCAAAAAGTTTAACACTTTCATTTTAACTTTGTAGCTGTTTCTTTTTCACTTCTCAATTTCCATTTGTTCAGCAAGCAGGGTGGCATACACTTGTAATTCCACTGGCCTGGGAGGCTGATGCACAAGATTCACCAAGTTTGATACTAACTCGGGCAACTTAGCAAGACTCTGTCTTAAAAATCAAAAAGCACTGGGAATGTAGCTCAGTAAGAAGATTCTGGGTTAAATCTCAGTACTACATACACTTTTGGACACCACCGTAATTGGTGGTCTGCTGAGCACTTTACATGTGTAGTCTTCCTCACAGCTCTGGTGTGATGTTTATGACTATGTCCATCTTACAGAGGACAAAACTGTGGCACAAAAAGATCACATAAACTGGTAGAGGTCACAAAGCTGGTAAGTTCTGGAGTAGAAGTCCAGATGTACCATTCTCATTTACTTCTAGAAAAATAGTACTATTGCTCTGAAGTTGTGCTTTGTGGCTATTGTTCTTGTGTAAATATCTTGCAAAGCCCATGTTCATAGACTTGGCTTATGTCATTACTGTTCTTGTAAAGAAATTTGTAAGTTGTTATGGCATCCAGAAGGAAATTCAGTGCTTTCACCAGAATTTCTAGAAATTACCCAGCATCTTCTGGCTTTTATTTTCTAATCTAGTTGAACTCAGGACCTGTTCACCTGTTAGCTTCATGACTGCTCCTTACTCTTTTGTCAGTATGTAGGACATGGATATTTTTCCACCATTTGCAGAAGGAATAGCAAAATTTTTGGAAGAATGAATGACATTTGCTTAACAGCTTATTATAATAAAAGAACATTGACAAATCTTAAAAGGCAAGTTTTGACATTTTTCTTCTCTTTCTCTCTGTCTCTCTGTCTCTGTCTCTCTCTCTCTCTCT